CTGTATTATGTACTTGCTCCCAACTCACTGATTAGGCAAGTGGACAGGGCAAATGACCCGTATATACTCGAGTATAAGTCGACCCGAATATAAGCCGAGGAACCTAATTTTACCACAAAAAACTGGGAAAACTTATTGACTCGAGTATAAGCTGTTTCACCACACCACAAACCTCTTCCTCCCAGCCCCTCCCGTTCCCTTGCTGCCAAGAGGTCAGAGGCTGGTGGCAGCAGCGGCGGAGGAAGAACAAGCAGCCCAAAAGGGCTGCTTTCAGGCTGCTCGTTCCTCCTTCTCTGCCACCGATAGCCACCGACAGGGACCCTCACTTGAGTATAAGCTGAGGGGGGCTTTTTCAGCATAAAAAAATGTGCTGAAAAAGTCGGCTTATACTCGAGTATATGCGTTACTCAAGCAACAAGTTTCGCTCAGGGCATTTCCATGCTGCCTGGGAATCCCAAGTCTGATTGTGGCATGTAGGGGAATGCCAGCCCACAGTAATGCTCACTGCAGAGGATGAACACACTTCTCACATTATCCTCGCTCCCCAATGGAAATTTCAAAGAATCTCTTTAGTGTAGCCAATAGAACAAGCTGTGGTGTGTGGCAGTTTGTGTGTTGTTGCTCATTGCAGAATGATGGCCCTAGATGTAAATGAAAAAGAGAACTGACTCACATTAAAAAAAAAAAATATATTTGTAGATCTGATCTGGACCCTGAGGTCATAATTTGAGGCCGTTTTTTCATGTTCCTCCTCCACATGATGTCTGCAGGGTGGCAAAATGAGAAGGAGCCTTTTCTGCAATGGCTCCCTGTTTGTGGAGTGCTCTCCCCAGTGAGGATTGCCTGGAACCATGATTATACATCTGTAGGCACCAGGCAAAACCTTTTCTCTATAACCAGGCCTGTTAAGTTGTGGGTGAACATATCAGACGACACAGTGATTCTTTAAACAACTCTTGTTTATTCACAGGCCAGAACTGAACTGAACTGAAGGGTTTAAACAGCCTGCTTATATAGAGCTCCACTACAACGCAACTGTAACAACTTTCTGTAACTATCCAATCATTGAATGTCACTTTCAATCCCTTATTTGCATATGTGGACCTGAGTGAAAACTATTTACAGTATCCCCCTGCAGGCCCAGGGGGAGAACTTCAGTACAAAACAAGGCCTTTGCCCATTAACTATCCATGGTCTATTAGAAGTGGATGAGGTGTTTTTAATGTATTTCACTTTGCTCTTGGTTTTAATGTATCTATGTGGGGTTTTGTCTCTTGGGTTGTAAGTCTCATTGGATTGCCGTGGGAAAGATAAAGCAACTGATAAATTCATAATAATAACACTAATAAATCAATATAGTTTGCCTAGCAAGAGCCCCAGGTGTACAGCTGCATGACTAGCTAGCTGTCTCTGTGTGAATGGGGACCAGGAAAAAGAAGGTGGCAGACTATGGGACAAAATTATCTTAACAGGTTTCTTTGATCTCTGGCAGCTGATATAATATCCCTATTTTCATGTGGAATCTTGCAGAGAATGCAACTCTTCTGTTTTGATTAAAGGAGGGTTTTTGTCTAGCTTCAGATTCACTTCCTCTCACTGTGTATCTGCCACAGTAATACACAGCCGTGTCTTCCGATATAAGGCTGTTCATTAGTAAATAGAGGAGGCTGTTGGAATTGTCCCTGGAGATGGTGAATCTTCCCTTCATTTTATCCAGATAGTACATTGCACCTGAATTGTAGCTTATGTAGGCCACCCATTCCAGGCCCTTCCCTGGAACCTGTCTCACCCAGTGCATGCCATAGCCCCCAAAGTTAAACCCAGAGGCTCGACAGGAGAGGCGGAGGAACTCCCCAGGCCTTTTCACATCTCCTCCAGACTCCACCAGCTGGACCTCTGATTGGACACCTGGAAAGAAAGATTTTAAGAAGTTTCTGCATGTTAACAACACCCAGAATGAACCAAACTTTGATAACTGGTATGAGAAATTTACCTCCTAAAGCTGCTGAAAAGAAAACAAGCTGAAGCAAAGCTATCATTTTTGCCTGCCTGATGCTTTGAGAGATTTGACCAAAATGTGATCCCTAGTATACAGCGGTAGGGAGTGTGTTTGACTGCTTTAAAGAGGAAGCTCTCTCTGAAATTTACATAAAAGCACCAACAAAGACATTCAACAATGTCTGACTGGAAGCAAATGGTGACCTGGCAAAAATATACTTATTTGCCATTGCACAATTTGTATAGCTCTTAACCTTGATGGGCTCATGCACACAGGCTCCATGATTTCAAAGATGGAAACCATCAAATATATAAATAATGGGGGCAGGGGTAATGGGTTTGAAGTATGTGCCTGAAAGTACATTTCATTCAAAATTACTTTGAAATTGGTCAAAGAAGTTGATCAAGGGGAAACATTAAATTTAGATCAATTCAATTTCTATTGTTGTTGTTCTATAATATCTTGCCCAAACCAGAGAATACAGCTAGTTTGCGCTGGTGAATGTTGTGAAACAGTTAAAATATATTAGTTTTGCATGGCCTATATTTTGTTTCTTAAAAAAAGTTTCTTATTGCTTCTCTAAATAAAGATTAGAGACGTGGGTGATACTGCGGCCTAAACCACTGAGCTTTGGACTTGCCGATCAAAAGGTCGGTGGGTGGTTCGAATCCCCGCAATGGGGTAAGCTTCCGTTGCTCGGTCCCAGCTCCTGCCAACCTAGCAGTTCGAAAGCACGCCAAAAAGTGCAAGTAGGTTAATAGGTACAGTTCTACCCCCCCCCGACTCAACCATCTGAATTTCTGATTCAGCACCTGGAAATAAAGGCATTTTAAGACGCTTGTCCATACTTCTGCTAGTGTTGTGCCTAGAAAACACAAGTCTGAGCGGTTCCCCCTCTTTAGTGATAGATAAGAAGAAATTGCAATTTGGAGGAACCACAAATGGCTGTTTGCTCCAATGGAGCACTAAAGAACAGTTTGCTGGGGGAAGGGGGCAGTTATCAGTGAGACAATGGGTAAGGCCTCAAGATGAAGCAGTTTTCTTTAATGGAAAAGATGGTTTTACCTCCAAATGCTGTTGAAAAGAAGACAAGTTGAAGCAAAAGTATCATTTCCCTCTTGAATTATTTGAGATGGTTTAGTGAAAAGTGGTCCCAGGAATTCAGGGTTTTGTAACTGGGGCAGGGTTAGCGCCTAACTGACATGGAGGAAGCAGCTCTTTGGTGGCTTATTGCCACATATATATTTTTAATAAATAGTATGCTTATTTACTAAAGTACACTATAAAAGAGAAATACAGGGACCTTCAAATTAAATATCCTTTTACGGGGGAGTATAGTGAGGAGGTGAACATATCTGCTTTTCTCAGGGCAGGGCAACTTTGGTGAGACTTGGCAAATTAATATGAATATAATGTGTGACTTGGCAAATACAGTTACCTACATGAATCAGGAAATTTACTTGCATCAAGAAGAGAAGAAGAGTTTGGATTTGATATCCCACTTTATTACTACCCGAAGGAGTCTCAAAGCGGCTAGCATTCTCCTTTCCCTTCCTCCCCCACAACAAACACTCTGTGAGGTGAGTGGGGCTGAGAGACTTCAAAGAAGTGTGACTAGCCCAAGGTCACCCAGCAGCTGCATGTGGAGGAGCGGGGACGCAAACCCGGTTCACCAGATTACGAGTCTACCACTCTTAACAACTACACCATGCTGGCTCTCCATCGTTATCAAGCGTTGGCAAGCAGTCTTTTTTATTCTTGACAAAAACAAGCAAAATAAAGGCATCAGTAGAGGCGATCTGAATATTTTCTGACTGGACCACACCTCCTTCCATTGGCATTTTCTGTTCTTGACGCCATCATTTCCCTCTTGTGGGGAACAGGAAGAGGTGGAAGAGGTGGAATAATTGCAGGAGTCTTGGTTTCTGACAAGATGCTTAATTTTCAAAATGACATTTGGCATAGATTTGTGGGTATACCATCTAGTGACATGGGGAAGAGAAAAGCAGCACCGAACATGTAGTTGCAACTAATACACATTTCAAGTATTAGATCTTGATTTTAAAAATTATTATTCTTTCAGTTAATTCTTCTCTTAACATACCACAGAATACACCATTGCTGAACAGAGCTGCCAAACCATATGTTTTCCATATCTGATTATTTTCCTCACCACAATGGAGAGGTAGGTGTTTGGGAATAAGTGTTATGTATGCACATAAACACAATTCCCATGGAATTTATAATATTTATATCCAGCATTTTATTCTAGCTTTTCCCTCGAATTCAAGGTGCTATACATTATATCGCCCTCCTCATATATTCCCCGTAACACCCCAGTAAGGTAGGTCAGACTATGAGGCTGTGACTGACCCAAGGTCATCTAGTGAGCTTCATGGACAAGTAGGGATTTGAACCTGGGTTTCCCAGGTCCTATGTCCTACAGAGGAGGTTTCACGCCATGCCAAGAGATGATGGGATGATGCAGAAATACACCAATTCACAATTTTGTAAAAAGTCTACATTTCTACTGGAGGTCTATCGCCAGCAACCTTAAGCATAACTCAGAGCTATGAGCAGACAAAAGACAAATAACCATCTATTTGCAAAACTGGATATTGATATTAGGTGGTAGGAAAAAAATGCTGCAGCAAAGTCATTTTGTACAGTGTTGTACTGATCCACATTGGTCTATTTCCATTGTGCATCACTTCTGCAGATGTCCATCAGTATAATCATTTCTGCATTAAGTTACAGACTGAAGAGGCAGGAAGTTTGGATGTTGTACCGCATCATCTGTGGAATGTAGAATTGCTCTGTCAAAACTTTCACAGTGTATTTGTTTATAGAAGCAGAACTTCTACTTTCTGAACAGAGCCCAATAGGCTTTGTCTCACTGTGTCTTCTCGGGCACAGAAATACACAGCGGAGTCTGCAGCTGTCAGGGAGTTCAGCTGGAGGGAGAACTCATTCTTTGAGGCATCTGAAGAAATGCTTGCTCGGCTCTTCAGAGAAGGGGCATATGCTATGTCTCCATTATAGGGGTATATCCATGCAATCCATTCCAGACCTTTCCCAGGAGCTTGACGGATCCAATGCCACGCATAGTATCGGGTAGAGATGGAGAAACCTTTGACTTTACAAAGCAGGTTGAGATTCTCTCCTGGTCTCACTATTCCTGGCCCAGATGATACAAGCTGAATGTCTGAGGAGACCCCTTGGAAAGACAAAAGATGGAAATGAATGGTTGTTCGTCATCAAATCACCACATGAAGTAAATTAATTGCAGAACTTCCCATACCTTTAGAAAGCACCACGAAAGAAAACAAAAGCAACAAGAGCTCCATAATGTTGATGAATAAATGTGTGCTAGAGATACAGGAAAGAGGGGACTCTGGGCTGGGAAGCAAGTGAAGATTTTATATTCAGGGTTTTTCAACCGAAATTACTCCCAACTTCCTGGTGGTATTTACATGAGACCTCCCCAGTGAGGTGCAAGAGGCAGATAAAAGCCATTTGGGGGATCAGGGTTTGCTGCTGGTTTCCTCTTTGTTCCCCGCACAAACACAAACACACAAAGACAAATGCACACAGAGTGGAGTTCTAATGGAGGGGGCATAGATGGAATGCATAATTCACTCAAAGACGTTGGTTTTGGAGGAAGGTTTGGAAGAGATTAATGAACTGGGGAAGCATTCTTCTTTTATACTTTAAAACTACTGGTTGTGGTGAAAAGTTCAAGGGACTGGCATTTATCATCATCATCATCATCGTCATCATCATCATCATCATCATTTCAGCCTCCCTTCGCCATGCACCTATAGAGATGCTGTTGGTGTGATGCAATTATAATTTCAAATGCAGCATGTGAAAACAAATTGCTGGGAGGGAGTTCTGCTGTGGCAAAATGGAGTAGAGGAATTTTAAATAAATAAAAGAAAATGTAAAAATATAGGTTCCATCTTTATATTCACACTCCAGTGCACCCTTCATTCACCCCTGGAATGCCCACCACACTCCCAAATACAAAACCATTATTTATTATCTCCCCCGTGAAATTACATCAAGAGTCTCTTTTTTAAAAAATCCTTCCTCTGCAAGGAGGAAGATATTTAAAAGTTTCATTTGCATAAATATTTAGAATAGCCCTCTACATTTGAAAGGAGGCAATTTGCCTTCATAGGCAAAGGAAAGAGACAAAGTTGAGCCAATTCTACCCCCTCCCTCCCTTTTGTTTGGTGAGGGGTTGACTGACAAGAAGTCATAGGCACACAAGGGTTGTGGCTCAGGATGTCGCAGGAGCACGGAGGTTGTCTGGGTGAATTAAGAAGGAGTCCTCCTCACAAGCATTTGTATTTGGACAGGGGTGGGAAACTCATCCAAATGTTTTGGGAGTCCCACACCTTTCATCCTAGGGGTAGGCATTGTGAAGCTTGAGAGATGATGATGATGATGATGAATATTATTATTATTTTATTATTATAATTATGTATCATTTTTCATCATAAAATCTCAGGATGGTTCACATGATTAAAATGCAATATAAAGCACAAATAAAACGTTAAGTACATCAGCGGTCATGACTTGTCACAGCTGCTGTGGAGGAGACTTTGGCCTGACTGTGGTGGTAGCTGAGGAAGTGGGGCATTTAAACAGAAGCCAGGGTGGCTTCTGTAGATCTGGGATGTTCTGCTCAAAGTAGGGTGGTTGGAAGGTCTGCTGTACTACAAATATTTTGTTTACACATGCCCTCAATCTACAGGACATCCATATTTGTAGAAAATAAGATTGTGCCATGGATTTCTTCCCCACAAACTGTTGCCCATGAGCTGAGAGCACAGAGATAATTGCCTGAAAGTTTCTCAGGGACTCAAAGTCTCAGGGGGCTCATAGAAAGTTGGTTGACCAGTAAACATCTGATAAAGTGCAAGTAGATTAATAGGTACAGTTCTACCCCCCCCCCCGACTCAACCATCTGAATTTCTGATTCAGCACCTGGAAATAAAGGCATTTTAAGACGCTTGTCCATATTTCTGCTAGTGTTGTGCCTAGAAAACACAAGTCTGAGTGGTTTCCCCTCTTTAGTGATAGATAAGAAGAAATTGCAATTTGGAGGAACCACCCCAGGCTGTTTGCTCCAATGGAGCACTAAAGAACAGTTTGCCGGGGGAAGGGGGCAGTTATCAGCGAGACAGTGGGTAAGGCCTCAAGATGAAGCCGTTTTCTTTAATTGAAAAGATGTATTTACCTCCAAATGCTGTTGAAAAGAAGACAAGTTGGAGCAAAAGTATCATTTTCCCTCTTGAATTATTTGAGATGGTTTAGTGAAAAGTGGTCCCAGGAATTCAGGGTTTTGTAACTGGGGCAGGGTTAGCGCCTAACTGACATGGAGGAAGCAGCTCTTTGGTGGCTTATTGCCACATATATATTTTTAATAAATAGTATGCTTATTTACTAAAGTATACTATAAAAGAGAAATACAGGGACCTTCAAATTAAATATCCTTTTACGGGGGAGTATAGTGAGGAGGTGAACATATCTGCTTTTCTCAGGGCAGGGCAACTCTGGTGAGACTTGGCAAATTAATATGAATATAATGTGTGACTTGGCAAATACAATTACCTACATGAATCAGGAAATTTACTTGCATCAAGAAGCGAAGAAGAGTTTGGATTGGGTATCCCGCTTTATCACTACCCGAAGGAGTCTCAAAGCGGCTAACATTCTCCTTTCCCTTCCTCCCCCACAACAAACACTCTGTGAGGTGAGTGGGGCTGAGAGACTTCAAAGAAGTGTGACTAGCCCAAGGTCACCCAGCAGCTGCATGTGGAGGAGCGGGGACGCAAACCCGGTTCACCAGATTACGAGTCTACCGCTCTTAACCACTACACCATGTTTGCTCTCCATCATTATCAAGTGTTGGCAAGCAGTCCTTTTTTAGTCTTGACAAAAGCAAGCAAAATAAAGGCATCAGTAGAGGAGATCTGAATATTGTCTGACTGGACCACACCTCCTTCCATTGGCACTTTCTGCTCTTGACACCATCGTTTCTCTCTTGTGGGGAACAGGAAGAGGTGGAATATAATTGCAGGAGTCTTGGTTTCTGACAAGATGCTTAATTTTCAAAATGACATTTGGCATAGATTTGTGGGTATACCATCTAGTGACATGGGGAAGAGAAAAGCAGCACCGAACATGTAGTTGCAACTAATACACATTTCAAGTATTAGAGATTGTTTTTTAAAATTATTATTCTTTCAGTTAATTCTTCTCTTAACATACCACAGAATATACCATTGCTGAACAGAGCTGCCAAACCATATGTTTTCCATATCTGATTATTTTCCTCACCACAATGACCGCTCCCCGCTTAAAACGGGGGACGCCCTTTGCGTGGACGCGCGCAGCCCCTAGATCTGGAGCGGCTCCAACAGCATAGGCTTGGTTTGCCTTCCCTCAGGTGGGATACCTGGAGGTCTCCGCCTACCTCAGTCAGTTGTCCAATCCCACCTGGGGGAATCGTTGCCAAGCAGACCAGGCCAGATAGGGGGAGGGATTACCTGCCCACACAATAGAGGGAGGATCTTACCTGGGAATCCTCACTTGGCTCCAGAGCTTCTCCCACCCTACCCACCCTCAGTTAATGTCTTATTTGCAGGTTAACTTTTCTTCACAGGTTTTTCAGGTTAACTTTTCTTCGCAGGTATGCGGGCGCTGCTACGTTAAGGTCGCTGTTAAAGGGCCGGAAAGGAATTTCCCTGCATTGGCAGGCTTCGCCTTTCCCGTAGCAAAATGTCACAACTTTGGCGGTATCAGGCCTTGGGCGGAATCCTTTAGTCCATCTTCCTCTTTGCGGCGGCGATACCAGGGTTCCCTGTTAAAGGGGTTTCTGAAGGGAGGCTTTGACTGTACGCCGAAAGGTCGTCATTGCTCTCCCCTGCGGCGGCGGCGTAATGGGGGCGGCTATCTCTGCTTGAACATACGTTCTCCAGAGGCCAAGGTGATCCCGACAATTGCCTATGCCATCTCAATTTGGGGGACTTTTGTCAATCTATCTCACCTAGAGGTTATTCAAAATCAGTTTTTAAGAGGGATATTGAAACTGCCCAACTGTGTAAGTAATACAGCGTTACGCATGGAACTTAATACTGTATCCCTGGAAAACGCTCTGTGGAAGCACATACTTTGTCACTGGTTATCTCTATGGCACAATCTCCCAAACTTGTACTTGATACAATGTATGTGGAGAGATGATTTCCAGAGCCCATGGGTAAAAATTTACAGCTGAAAATAATGACAATGGGAATCTCCCCATCCAAATTACTAGAGCAGGACATAGTTCCAGCTAAAAGAACAGTAACCTGTAAACTAGAGGAGATGGACTTGCAGCAGAAAATGGTCTTGGGCAATGGTACCTGCTCACCTCTAAACCTTGGTTTATCACCCCTCTTAAGGCTCCCAAACTATTTGAATTCCTTAACTTCTTCGGCTCATAGATATGCCTTTGTAAAGGCAAGATTCAACACCTTCCCATCGAGACATGCTGAGAAATAGATTCTCCAATGGACAGATATCGCTCTTATGTGATTGTAATTGTGGGGCACTGGAATCGTTGCATCACATAATTTTTGACTGTGCTTTTCACTCATCGGCCAGGAGCAAGTTTCTTGCCCAATATCTAAAGGAATTGCCGATGATACGAATGAAGCCAAACTGAGATATCTATTAAATGATGATGACCCCCTAAGATCACTCACGGTTGCCAGATTCTTGATCAGTGTCCTATCCCTAAAGAAGAGAAACGGACTCCTGTGTGGCTCGGAAAATCCCTTTAAACCATGATCTATGTTTTAGGATGTAACTAGGTGAATCACCATTGATGTCTTTTATTGATCTGTGAGCAGATGGTGATGGTTATGTTACAAATTTATTGCAACATATGATGTTGGTCTTTTGTTTTTGTTCTGCTTTGGTTCTTGTCTGTTTTTTGTAAGTTTTGACGGTTTTAAATTTGGAGGTTCATGTACATTATGTTGGTATGGGAAACTGTCGTGTGACGGGCCAATGGCCGTAATAAAGATCAATCAATCAATCAATCAATACGTTCTCCAGAGCCGGCCCATCCCCCCCCACACACACACTGGATAACCCTGATGCTCCCTAGGTCCCCGGCTGGGGACTGGGGAGGGAGAACGCCCAATGCCTGAGCCAAGGTCTACCCACATTTGAAATTTAATAAAGTTGTGGCCAATTTAATCCCATAGCACGTTGTCATGAGTCATTATTCCACATGACGGGGGGACCGCGCGGGATCTGTGGACTCCGCCTGTCTACGCAATGGAGAGGTAGGTGTT